ACGTTTCCTTTCAACTAATGCTCTTATTATATATATATATATATATATATATATATATATATATATATATATATATATATATATATATATATATATATATATATATGTATATATATTAAACACATAATAATTCAATATAATACAGTGGATTACAAAATAATAAAATAATATGCAATACAGAATAATATATATACACAGGCTTCCTGTCCCCAACGATAGGTAATACTCTATAAACAACAACAAATAATATTTAGCAAGTTGCTTTATTATTAAAGCAGCAAGTGTTACTTAACACTGGTGAGACAAACGTCTTAACTTGGCACTAGAGATTATACTAAGAATGGTTCGAAAAATTGGGGGTTTAGATGGGACGATCAAGAACATCTAATTCCGTATCAAGAATGGTTTGAGGCTGATTATAGACAACAGTTGCTGCGTCTGTACTGGACTGTGTATAACGAACCTTGAGTTTTATTTCTTAACAATTTCTTAACATGTAGTTTGGCTGTACCACAGTCTTAAGGGCCGACATGCTGTTACACCTGCTTGTTACAAATGACCTACAACTAGTCGAGTGGACTCGTAGTGCAACAATGGAATTCAAATTAATCCTCAAGTTGACCAGACTACACACTAGAAGGTGAAGGGACGACGACGTTTCGGTCCGTCCTGGACCATTCTCAAGCTTCAATCTCTAAAGAGGAATAAGACTTATTCTTCTTAGTAAGCCTACTAAGACTTACTAAGCACCAGTGCGCACTTTATGGTGCACTTAAATGCATTTGGCACTTACTAAACACTGTAAGTCGTTTACAGAAGACTTACTGGTGTATATGTTGGAGCTTCAACATAACTAACTCATTAATTTATATCGCTTCGCTTGAAGCGATCCACTGGTCCCTCGTGTGTTATTAAGAGAAACTCATTATGTGATCGATTGATATCAAGACAATGATAAAGGTAGAGCAACTAAGGATATAAGAACGAGGAAGAAGGCCACATATTGAACACAAGGAAGCACTGAAGGTCCATTTGTCTGTCCGAAGTCGGAGTCCAGACACATCACCCAACATTTTAGGATTACACATAGGTGGTTTTTGAGTCTTATAGCCTGGTCAGAGGTCTGGTAAATCGCCTCACTTTAAGGAATATCAGTTCGTACCCTCTGGGATTTTGATGACCTCTGAAGTTGGGGGATTTCTTTCAGTAGAGTTTTTGAGCAATATTTATTTTGTCATAATATATTTTCTGAGAGAGAGAGAGAGAGAGAGAGAGAGAGAGAGAGAGAGAGTGAGGGGAAAAGAGTTTTTGGGAGTGTCATAAGGTGATGGGAGTCGAACCCCAAGCCTCTCCTTAATTAAGATTGACTCCCATTGTAAAATGCAACGACTCCTTGGGGGTATTGAAACGTGGGTTTGATGATCCGTAGAGTATTACCACCAGATATGCCAGCTATTACGATTCAACGTCTATAACGGTCATTCAACGTTACTCGAGGATGTTTTACCCATTTGTAGAGAGAACGAGAAAGATAAAGGGAGAGAAAATGGGGAAGAGAGGTAGGAATAATAGAATGGAGGGAAGTAGGGAGAAAGGGAGAATAGGGAGGGAGGTAATATGACAGGGAGGGAGAATATAAGGCAGGAAAGAAGAATGGGAAGGATGGAGAATGTGAGAGAGAGAGAGAGAGACTCAAGCACCCATGTCTGTCTGTCTGTCCAAGCTCGGAAGATAAATAGGCTAGCTTCAGGCAACTTTACAAGATAATTGGTGGGTTTATGGAGCATTACATAGGGAAGTTGGCGTCTGCCATTATGCCTCTCTTGAAGAGAAATCGCCTTCCACACCTCCCCCCAACTTCACCAAGTCACTTTACGTGAAATGTATAACCAAATGGCCGCAGAGTTTATCATTCCTTTACATATAAGTATATTCAGATATTGAAATGCAAAACGAATGTTCAGATAGATTTGTAATCTAGGCACAGTCTTTTGATTAGTGTTACAGTGATTTAGACAGTTTGTAGTAAAAATGGTTACAGTGATGTCGGGAATAGGGAAATATTGTTTGATGTTTGATATTGTACTAAATGTTTGATATCGTACTTATTGTTTGATATTGTAATAAATGTATAAATGTTTGATATCGTACTTTTTGTTGATATCGTAATAAATGTTTGATATTGTACATATTGTTGATATCGTACTAAATGTTTGATATCGTACTTAATGTCCGGTAGTGTACTTAATGTTTGTTTAGTGTCGTACTTGAATGTTTTGAAACGTAAATATTTACAAGATAAATACTTTACTGTTGATTTATTTACATTTTCAGATAAACTCAATTGTCCATAAGTAGTCTGAGGCCTTAGGGTATCATGGATTTAGAATTTGAATTGCTTCTTTTAGGATAAGTTAGACTAGGGTAAGCTAAGCTAGACTAGCATGGAGTTAGGTTAGGCTTGGCTAGACTAGGCTGGTACATGCTATGCTTGGTTAGGCTAGGTTAGGATAAGACCTGGTTAGGCTTGGCAACTTTAAGTTTAGATAAACAAATCCACAAGGGCCGTGACGAGGATTTGAACCTGCGTCCGAGAGCTTAAGTTTAAGTAATTCTTTGGATATTTCGGCCAGCTTGGAGGCCTTAAACACAGTTCTGTTGATCTTATCTCACTTGGTGTATCTTAAGTAAGCTCAAGATAATAGAGAAACAAGGAGAATGAAGGAACATTAATATATAATGTATATAATGGTATATATAAAACATTATAATGGTATATATAATGCTACAAAAGTAGCATTATATATACCAGTGAATTACAAAGGAGATTCTTTAAATGAGGGTAATATGTAAATGGAAGGAATTAGACGAAAAAAATAGTTGAGACTATAAATATTTTATATAAAGGAGAGGATTTATGCAATAAAAATTAAGTGTAGAAAGGGAAACTATATATAAGTGGAGAAAAAGTTAGTTAGACACGAAAATATATATAGAGAAATGATAAGTTATTTATAAACTATATTGATTTTTTTGGCTTCTATTGCCTCGTTATTATCATTTATTCTTGTTTACCAATGATTATCCTTCACAGCTTCGACTAGGGAACGATCCAATTCTCTCCTTCAGAACCTCAATGCTGTGACCTTCATTTTATAATCCAATTTATCCCTTGACTCATAACAGTCTTTCCTTATGTTTCAGGTAAGAATTTGGAGGTGTGGACAGTAAGTACAATATTGTATTGTTAACTATTTGTACTGCTACTGTTAGTATGGTGTTGGTACTGTTACTGTCAGTATGGTGTTGGTACTGTTACTGTTAGTATGGTGTTGGTACTGTTACTGTTAGTATGGTGTTGGTACTGTTACTGTCAGTATGGTGTTGGTACTGTTACTGTCAGTATGGTGTTGGTACTGTCAGTTACTGTCAGTATGGTGTTGGTACTGTTACTGTCAGTATGGTGTTGGTACTGTTACTGTCAGTATGGTGTTGGTACTGTTACTGTCAGTATGGTGTTGGTACTGTTACTGTCAGTATGGTGTTGGTACTGTTACTGTCAGTATGGTGTTGGTACTGTTACTGTCAGTATGGTGTTGGTACTGTTACTGTCAGTATGGTGTTGGTACTGTTACTGTCAGTATGGTGTCAGTATGGTGTTGGTACTGTTACTGTCAGTATGGTGTTGGTACTGTTACTGTCAGTATGGTGTTGGTACTGTTACTGTCAGTATGGTGTTGGTACTGTTACTGTCAGTATGGTGTTGGTACTGTTACTGTCAGTATGGTGTTGGTACTGTCAGTATGGTGTGGTACTGTCAGTATGGTGTTGGTACTGTTACTGTCAGTATGGTGTTGGTACTGTTACTGTCAGTATGGTGTTGGTACTGTTACTGTCAGTATGGTGTTGGTACTGTTACTGTCAGTATGGTGTTGGTACTGTTAGTATGGTGTTGGTACTGTTACTGTTAGTATGGTGTTGGTACTGTTACTGTCAGTATGGTGTTGGTACTGTTACTGTCAGTATGGTGTTGGTACTGTTACTGTCAGTATGGTGTTGGTACTGTTACTGTCAGTATGGTGTTGGTACTGTTACTGTCAGTATGGTGTTGGTACTGTCAGTATGGTGTTGGTACTGTTACTGTCAGTATGGTGTTGGTACTGTTACTGTCAGTATGGTGTTGGTACTGTTACTGTCAGTATGGTGTTGGTACTGTCAGTATGGTGTTGGTACTGTTACTGTCAGTATGGTGTTGGTACTGTTACTGTCAGTATGGTGTTGGTACTGTTACTGTCAGTATGGTGTTGGTACTGTTACTGTCAGTATGGTGTTGGTACTGTTACTGTCAGCTTTCTGTCAGCTGGTGTACAGGATTCGTGGCCTCTTGGACTCTGTCATAAGTGAGTGACGGCATCTGTCTCCCTTTCCCTTCCTGTCTCACTTTCCCTCCCTGTCTTTCCTACATTCTTACCTCCCTACCTTGGCCTACCTCCTCCTCCCCCTACCCCTCCCTCGGTCAATCAACTATGCATTGTGATCGTGTATCGTCGTGTCCACACCGTCTCGCCCTCCCTCGGCCAATACCAATCTCATTCAGGCAGATTTTCATGGCTTTTTGATGCTGTCAATAGTCGCTTCTTGCTGATCTTGTTGTCTGGTGCTGCTGCTGTTACTGCTGCTGCTGCTGCTGTTACTGCTGCTGCTGCTGCTGTTACTGCTGTTACTGCTGCTGCTGCTGCTGTTACTGCTGCTGCTGCTGCTGTTACTGCTGCTGCTGCTGTTACTGCTGCTGCTGTGTCTTCTGCTCCCATTATGTATCCTGCTGCTGCTGCTGCTGTTACTGCTGCTGCTGCTGCTGTTACTGCTGCTGCTGTTACTGCTGCTGCTGCTGTTACTGCTGCTGCTGCTGTTACTGCTGCTGCTGCTGCTGTTACTGCTGCTGCTGCTGCTGCTGTGTCTTCTGCTCCCTTTATGTATCCTCCTGCTGCTGCTGCTGCTACTGCTACTGCTGCTGTGTCTTCTGCTTCCTTTATGTATCCTCCTGCTGCTACTGCTGCTGTGTCTTCTGCTTCCTTTATGTATCCTCCTGCTGCTGCTGCTGCTGTGTCTTCTGCTTCCTTTATGTATCCTCCTGCTGCTGCTGCTGCTACTGCTGCTGTGTCTTCTGCTTCCTTTATGTATCCTCCTGCTGCTGCTGCTGCTGTGTCTTCTGCTTCCTTTATGTATCCTCCTGCTGCTGCTGCTGCTGTGTCTTCTGCTTCCTTTATGTATCCTCCTGCTGCTGCTGCTGCTGTGTCTTCTGCTTCCTTTATGTATCCTCCTGCTGCTGCTGCTGCTGCTGCTGCTGTGTCTTCTGCTTCCTTTATGTATCCTCCTGCTGCTGCTGCTGCTGTGTCTTCTGCTTCCTTTATGTATCCTCCTGCTGCTGCTGCTGCTGTGTCTTCTGCTCCCTTTATGTATCCTCCTGCTGCTGCTGCTGCTGCTACTGCTACTGCTGCTGTGTCTTCTGCTTCCTTTATGTATCCTCCTGCTGCTACTGCTGCTGTGTCTTCTGCTTCCTTTATGTATCCTCCTGCTGCTGCTGCTGCTGTGTCTTCTGCTTCCTTTATGTATCCTCCTGCTGCTGCTGCTGCTTCTGCTGCTGTGTATTCTGCTTCCTTTATGTATCCTCCTGCTGCTGCTGCTGCTGTGTCTTCTGCTTCCTTTATGTATCCTCCTGCTGCTGCTGCTGCTGTGTCTTCTGCTTCCTTTATGTATCCTCCTGCTGCTGCTGCTGCTGTGTCTTCTGCTTCCTTTATGTATCCTCCTGCTGCTGCTGCTGCTGTGTCTTCTGCTTCCTTTATGTATCCTCCTGCTGCTGCTGCTGCTGTGTCTTCTGCTTCCTTTATGTATCCTCCTGCTGCTGCTGCTGCTGTGTCTTCTGCTTCCTTTATGTATCCTGCTCCTGCTGCTGCTGCTACTGCTGCTGCTACTGCTGCTGTGTCTTCTGCTCCCTTTATGTATCCTGCTCCTGCTGCTGCTGCTGCTACTGCTGCTGTGTCTTCTGCTTCCTTTATGTATCCTCCTGCTGCTGCTGCTGCTGTGTCTTCTGCTTCCTTTATGTATCCTCCTGCTGCTGCTGCTGCTGTGTCTTCTGCTTCCTTTATGTATCCTCCTGCTGCTGCTGCTGCTGTGTCTTCTGCTTCCTTTATGTATCCTGCTCCTGCTGCTGCTGCTACAGCTGCTGCTACTGCTGCTGTGTCTTCTGCTCCCTTTATGTATCCTGCTCCTGCTGCTGCTGCCTACTCTGCTGCACTTCTATATTCATCTTCCCATAGGTAAAGCTTTTTCTCTTATTAAATATATTATATTATGACCATTAACTTCAAAACTTCCTTTTGATTCACTGTATTTTTATTCGGTCAGTGGTTTATAGAGTTCTGTTGCGCGGTAGACAACACAGTCTGGTTACAATCTAAAGGTCCCAGGTTCGACTCCCGCCGCACGACTGAAACGTTGTGAGCGCATTTTCCTAACAACTGATGCTGATAGTAAGGTATCTGAAAGTTTTAGCAAACTGTTGTAGGTTGCATCCTAAAGCAGGGTCAATAGTTGGCATAGGTGACTTCGGTAAGCCTAACAAGCTGTCTGTACCCGGTAATAGGAAAGCAAAATGTGGAGTAAATAGTTTTATGAGCGTGGGAAGCAAGGGTGAAATATCTAAGTTACTGCGTGACGGTCGTCATAGAAAACTGGCGTGGCACTCCATGACTACTCCAGAGAGAATGGGTCAACGTGGCTCCTCTCCCATCACAATAACACGACCAACTACACAAACTTGTTCAGACGTTGATGGGAGGGGTGTGTGTGAGGGGGGGGGGGCAAGAGGAAGAGAGATGGGACGGGGGGGGGGGGAGAAGAGTGGGGGAGGTGTGATAAAGTAGTTCAGACAGGTGAGAACGGGTGTAATAGACATTACCGTCCTCATTTCCTCTCAAATTTTCCTCATTTCCCAGCTTTTTGTCGCTGTATCCTAGGGCCTTGTCCTCCTATCCCAGCGCCTTGTTCTTCTATCCCAGCGCCTTGTCCTGCTATCCCAGCACCTTGTCCTATCCCAGCGCCTTGTCCTCCTATCCCAGCGCCTTGTTCTTCTATCCCAGCGCCTTGTCCTCCTATCCCAGTGCCTTGTTCTTCTATCCCAGCGCCTTGTCCTATCCCAGCGCCTTGACCTATCCCAGCACCTTGTTCTTTTATCCCGACTCCTTGTACTCGTGTCCCTTCCTTCTACTTTATTATCATTTGCACCTAATGTTTTCTCACGATTATTGCCTTTCATTACTTAATAGAGTTGAGGTTAATGAGAAAAAACCAACTAGAATTGTGAGGAGACTCGAACCCGCGACCGAGAGAATCCCAGCCGCTAACCACTGGACCACCCTGACGTGCTAAAAGTCATACAACCGAGTTCCGTCTCTGGGTAGAGCGAGAACTTCCACCACGTGTCCTTACATCTCATGCACCTATTCACCTAGCAGCAAATAAGTACTCGGGACATAGGCAAAGTCGACACTGGTGTTGACCATGACACTAGTGTTGACCATGACACTTACTGGTGTTGACCATGACACTGGTATTGACCATGACACTGGTGTTGACCATGACACTTACTGGTGTTGACCATGACACTAGTGTTGACCATGACACTGGTGTTGACCATGACACTGGTGTTGACCATGACACTGGTGTTGACCATGACACTGGTGTTGACCATGACACTAGTATTGACCATGACACTGGTGTTGACCATGACACTGGTGTTGACCATGACACTTACTGGTGTTGACTATGACACTTACTGGTGTTGACCATGACACTTACTGGTGTTGACCATGACACTAGTGTTGACCATGACACTGGTGTTGACCATGACACTAGTATTGACCATGACACTGGTGTTGACCATGACACTGGTGTTGACCATGACACTAGTGTTGACCATGACACTGGTGTTGACCATGACACTGGTGTTGACCATGACACTGGTGTTGACCATGACACTGGTGTTGACCATGACACTAGTGTTGACCATGACACTGGTGTTGACCATGACACTGGTGTTGACCATGACACTAGTGTTGACCATGACACTAGTATTGACCATGACACTGGTGTTGACCATGACACTAGTATTGACCATGACACTGGTGTTGACCATAACACTAGTGTTGACCATGACACTAGTATTGACCATGACACTGGTGTTTACCATGACACTGGTGTTGACCATGACACTAGTATTGACCATGACACTTACTGGTGTTGACCATGACACTAGTATTGACCATGACACTTACTGGTGTTGACCATGACACTAGTGTTGACCATGACACTGGTGTTGACCATGACACTGGTGTTGACCATGACACTTACTGGTGTTGACCAGGACACTAGTATTGACCATGACACTAGTATTGACCATGACACTGGTGTTGACCATGACACTTACTGGTGTTGACCATGACAGTAGTGTTGACCATGACACTGGTGTTGACCATGACACTTACTGGTGTTGACCATGACACTAGTGTTGACCATGACACTAGTGTTGACCATGACACTAGTGTTGACCATGACACTGGTGTTGACCATGACACTAGTATTGACCATGACACTTACTGGTGTTGACCCATGACAGTAGTGTTGACCATGACACTGGTGTTGACCATGACACTTACTGGTGTCGACCAGGACACTAGTATTGACCATGACACTAGTATTGACCATGACACTGGTGTTGACCATGACACTGGTGTTGACCATGACACTGGTGTTGACCATGACACTTACTGGTGTTGACCATGACACTGGTGTTGACCATGACACTAGTGTTGACCATGACACTGGTGTTGACCATGACACTTACTGGTGTTGACCAGGACACTAGTATTGACCATGACACTAGTATTGACCATGACACTAGTATTGACCAGGACACTAGTATTGACCATGACACTAGTATTGACCATGACACTAGTATTGACCATGACACTAGTATTGACCATGACACTAGTATTGACCATGACACTGGTGTTGACCATGACACTAGTATTGACCATGACACTAGTGTTGACCATGACACTAGTATTGACCAAGACACTAGTATTGACCATGACACTAGTATTGACCGTGACACTGGTGTTGACCATGACACTAGTGTTGACCATGACACTAGTGTTGACCATGACACTAGTGTTGACCATGACACTGGTGTTGACCATGACACTGGTGTTGACCATGGCACTAGTGTTGACCATGACACTAGTATTGACCATGACACTGGTGTTGACCATGACACTAGTATTGACCATGACACTGGTGTTGACCATGACACTAGTGTTGACCATGACACTGGTGCTGACCATGACACTAGTATTGACCATGACACTGGTGCTGACCATGACACTAGTATTGACCATGACACTAGTATTGACCATGACACTAGTGTTGACCATGACACTAGTGTTGACCATGACACTGGTGTTGATCATGACACTAGAATTGACCATGACACTGGTGTTGACCATGACACTGGTGTTGACCATGACACTAGTGTTGACCATGACGCTGGTGTTGACCATGACGCTGGTGTTGACCATGACGCTAGTGTTGACCATGACACTAGTATTGACCATGACACTGGTGTTGACCATGACACTGGTGTTGACCATGACACTAGTATTGACCATGACACTATTGTTGACCATGACACTAGTATTGACCAGGACACTAGTATTGACCAGGACACTAGTATTGACCATGACACTAGTATTGACCATGACACTAGTATTGTCCATGACACTGGTATTGACCATGACACTAGTATTGACCATGACACTAGTATTGACCAGGACACTAGTATTGACCAGGACACTAGTATTGACCAGGACACTAGTATTGACCAGGACACTAGTATTGACCATGACACTAGTGTTGACCATGACACTAGTATTGACCAGGACAC